CCAAAGAGCCTGGAAGCCAAGTGGACTATTTGCTCCGCAGTTCTCCCTGGTGGCCTCCCCAATTCTGGGACAAGGAGTCATACTGGCAGCAGAGAGCGAGAGGAGACAAGAGGTCTGTTCCAGGACCTGGGTAAAGAAAAGGAGGTAGCTGGGCACAGTGGCTCACACCTGGAATCCCAGCACTTTGGGAGGCTGAGGCAGGCAGATCACTTGAGGTCGGGAGCTTGAGAACCAGCCTGGCCAACATGGTGAAACCCCGTCTCTACTAAAAATACAAAAAAATTAGCTGGGCGTGGTGGGGGGTGCCTGTAATCCCAGCTACTCAGGAAGCTGAGGCAGGAGAATCGTTTGAACCTGAGAGATGGAGGTTTCAATGAGCTGAGATTGTGCCACTGCCCTCTAGCCTGGGAGACAGAGCGATATTCCATCTCAACAACAATAATTTAAAAGAAAAAAAAAAAAAAGGGCAATGAAGAGGCAGACAGGGAGGGACCCAGCTACTCCTTTGCGTCCTCCTTGGCACTGACCCTGCACAGGCCCCGCTTGCTAGATTCAATTCAGGCCATGCTTCTCTGCCTTGGGATGTCCTCCTAGAAGCCAGCAGGGCCAGAGTCAGGGGAGGGTGGGACTGACATCTGAGGATGCCTTCCTCAGGGTAGGCAGTAGGCCGGGCCCTTCCTGCTGTCACATGGTATGATGTACGTGACGGTGCAAGGCTGGTGGTGACTGGTCCGTATTTTTTTTTCAGCTTATCCACATGCATGAATTTTCAAAATTGAGATAGAAGGTGTATATCATAAAGACTCACTTCTTTAAAGTGTACAATACAGTGGTTTTTAGTGTGCTCACAGAGCTGTGTAGCTGCCTCACTAATTCTAGTCCATTTTCGTCACCCTCAGAAGAAACTCAGTGCCCATTACCAGTCACCCCCATTTGTCCCTCCCTCCGCTCCCAGCATCCGTGCAGCTGCGCTTAGTCTCTGGATTTGCCTGTTACAGGCACGCTCTCTGAACAGCCTCACATGTACATGGGCCTTTGTGTGTGCCTCCTTGGACCTAGCATAATGTTTCTAGACGTGCCCATTTTACAGGTTAGGCAACTGAGGCTTGGAAAAATCCAGGCTGCGTGTCCTGCAAGGTACAGAGATCAGATCAGAACTCATTTGGGGTTAAATTATTTTCCTTCCCACTCTACATGCCACGCTGAGGAGACACCAGAGTTGGGGGGCAGGGGGTGGGAATAGGTGCCTGGCCCTGGGGCTCCTGTAGCCTGGCTGCTGGGGGATGGGGGAAGTGTGGCTGCAGGTGTAGACTCTGACCCTGTGGGGGTGTTGGGAGGGTACCCAGGACCCTTCTTCAATGTCTGACCAACCCCACCGTGACCTGTCACACCCTATGTTCAAGGGCCACAGCATCTTCCCAGGCAAGGGCTTTGGGAATTGGAACATGTGCGGGCAGATTGCTCTGTTTTTATTTTTATGTTTTGATGGAGTCTCACTCTGTTGCCAGGCTGGAGTGCAGTGGCGCGATCTCGGTTCACTGCAGTCTCCCCCTCCTGGGTTCAAGCAATTCTCCTGCCTCAGCCTGGGATTATAGGCACCCGCCACCACACTTGGCTAATTTTTATATTTTTAGTAGAGATGGGGTTTTGCTATGTTGACCAGGCTGGTCTCGAACTCCTGACCTCAGGTGATCTGCCTTCCTCGGCCTCCCAAAGTACTGGGATTACAGGTGTGAGCCACTGTGCCAGGCCTTATTTTTATTTATTTATTTTCTTGTGGGGAGAGGGTGTCACTGTGTTACTCAGGCTACAGTGCAGTGGTGGCACTATCACGGTTCACTGCAGCCTCCAACTCCCAGGCTCAAGCAATCCTCCTGCCTCAGCCTC